TGTGTGCGTGGTGTGTGTGTGGTGTATGTGTATAGTTGGGTGGTTGTTTGTTTGTGTGTGTGTGTAATTTAACAATGTCTATATAAAATCACAAAGGTGTGTGTGTGTATGTTTGTGTAATATGAATTGTGCGGGCACGTATGTGCGCGCGTGTGTGTGTAGTGTGCGTCTGTGGTGCGCGCGAGTTTGTTGTTGATACTTTTGGTGGGAAATAATTGAAGAAGAATTTACAATGATGATTAACAACGTCTGCCTTTACCGAAAATTTTGAAGAAGAAAAAACATTTTAAATCCATCTCAATCTCGTGGATTCTTTATAATTATTATTATTATTATTATTATTTTTAATTGTTAATTTTAATACCATATTGTTAAATTTTAGTAATATATGGAGGCTATCCTAAATAATAATATAAGTCATTACAACACCCAGTAAATATAAAATGGCGATAAATATAATAATAAAAAATAAATAATAATAATAATAAAAATTTATTACAAATTGTATTAAAACGTGTGTATATATATATACAAATGTAATAGACCAAATGGATAAAAATGGGCTGATTAAGTTCATTTTTTGTATTTTGTAAAGTAACGTTATATATCATTGCTAAAGCTTTACTAAAGATATACTAACTGCTACTCATTCAAATGTTTCAATTTTATCAGTAATATTACTAGATCTTTGAGTATCTGTAGAGACAGTATTTGAACTATGCAAGCGCGTAATGGCAGTGCGAGACATGGCACTTCTGCCGACTGAGCTAACTCGATGACCATAATTCATATTACCTTACTACTAGGTAATATCTCATTTTATCTCTATAACATTAAATGGAAACACACACACACACACACACACACACACACACACACACACACACACACACACACACACACACACACACATACATAGCATGCGATAGGCTGAGATCTCTTTGATTTAGAACCAGGCAACTTAATCGTTCAACCATTTTACCATCATGTTTAGAAAAATTTATGAATAAAATGTTTTTTTTAAATTTACATGGTTCATCCAAAGTGCTAAAAACTTCACCCTAACAATTTCATCACTTTCTAATGAAAATTTCATTTACGGCTGTTAAAAATCTCAGACGTCGTGTGATGATTTTATTAGTCAGAAAAAATTTCTTCAAATAAAATTTAAAAATGTAATAAATTATTTTATTATTCGTGTTAATTGATTTGATAAATCTAACAAACAGTCGTAAAAATGGTTGCGGTAAGAGTCTCAGTATGACAAAGTTCACTATCATCGATAGTTTAATTGGTCTCGTGTCTAACTTAGACCATTCAACACCATCGATAGACACACGCGTCTACGGTCTAATAAAGTCAAAATGACGTGAAAGTCCATTACATAAAGAATTTGAAACCAAAACAAAAGATGAAAAGAATTATAACTAGCAGGAGGTCGTAAAATAATTTGTTAGAAGGTCGTGAATTATACCATCTCAATCGCTTATTCGATTAATAAAAGTTATTAATTAATCGCTCTTATCAAGGATTTTGAGTGGGAAGGGTATATAAACCAGTCGTAATTTTTCTATTATACTGTATTTTGAAATTTTATTATTCCAACTCATCTGTCATAAATTTATCTCACAGAAAAATAGCGATATTATAGGCGATAGCGATATTAAAATTTTTTCAACTAATTCATAATAAATTATAAGAATTTTTAATTATTCTATGAAAACATAGTCGTAGATTTTAACTATTTTATAGTTACATTTAATTGTTTATAATTATTATAAAACTGAATTTAAAGTATTTTAAAATGAGAACAAAGGTTAATAATAAAGCAGAAGAACCAATAAAATATCTTAACGGGGAAAATCGATTGGTAACGGAAGATGAATCCATGCGACAAGAAAATGCATGCAATCCCATGCAACAACAACCTCCACCATTGCATCAACAACTTCCACATTTTCAGCCACAACTTTCACATTTCCTGCAACAACCGACACTATTGCAACAGCAACAACCTTCACCATTGCACCAACAACCTTCACCATTGCACCAACAACCTTCACCATTGCACCAACAACTTTCACTTTTTCAGCAACAGCCTGCGTCATTTCAGCTACAACTTTCACCATTTCAGCAAAAACCTCCACAATTACAGCAGCAACCTTCAACATTGCAGCAACAATCTTTTCCATTGAAACATCAACTTTCTCCACTGCAGCAACAGTTTTCATGTTTTCAGCAACAGCCTTCACTACTGCAGCAACAACCTTCAACATTGCAGCAACAACCTTCAACATTGCAGCAACAACCTCTACCAATGCAGCAACAACTTTTACGTTTTCAGCAAAAACCTCCATCATTGCAGCAACAACCTTCACTATTGCAGCAACAACCTACACCATTGCATCAACAACCTTCACTATTGCAGCAACAATCTTCACTATTGCAGCAACAATCTTCACTATTGCAGCAACAACCTTCAACATTGCAGCAACAACCTACACCATTGCAGCAACAACCTTCACTATTGCAGCAACAACCTTCACTATTGCAGCAACAACCTACACAATTGCAGCAACAAGTTCCACTTTTAAAGCAAAATCCTTCACCATTGCAGCAACAACCTCCATCATTGCGCCAACAACCTCCATCATTGCAGCAACAACCTCCATCATTGCGCCAACAACCTCCATCATTGCAGCAACAACTTCCATCATTGCAGCAACAACCTTCATCATTGCAGCAAGAAGATCTACTTTTTAAGCAAGAACCTTCACCATTGCAGCAACAACCTCCACCATTGCAGCAACAGTTTTCTCCGTTTCAGCAGCAACAATTGTCACCATTGCAAAAACAGTTTTCACCATTTCAGCAACAACTATCACCCTCCCAGCCACAACAACTTTTACATTTCCAGCAACAACTACCACCCTTTCAGAGACAATTTTCATTTCAGCAACAACAATTTCCACATTTCCAACAACAACTTTTACCATTGCAACAACAACTGTCACCATTGCAACAACAACTTCCATCAATGAAGCAACAACTTCCATCAATGAAGCAACAACCTCCATCAATGAAGCAACAACCTCCCTCATTGCGCCAACAACCTCCATCATTGCCCGAACAACCTCCATCATTGCAGCAACAACCTTCATCATTGCAGCAACAACCTTCATCATTGCAGCAAGAAGATCTACTTTTTAAGCAAGAACCTTCACCATTGCAGCAGCAACCTTCATCATTGCAGCAACAACCTTTATCATTGCAGCAACAACCTCTACCAATGCAGCAACAAACTACATCATTGCAGCAACAACCTTTACCATTTCAGCAACAACTATCACCCTCCCAGCCACAACAACTTCTACATTTTCAGCAACAACTTCCACCATTTCAGAGACAATTTCCATTTCAGCAACAACAATTTCCACATTTCCAACAACAACTTTTACCATTGCAGCAACAACATCCACCTACGCAGCAACAATTTCAACCATTGCAGCAACAACTTTCACCATTGCAGCAGCAACAACTTTCACCAATGCCGAAACAACTTCCACCATTGCAAAAACAATTTCCACCATTGCAAAAACAATTTCCACCATTTCAGCAACAATTTCCACCATTCCAGCAACAATTTCCACCATTGCAGCAACAATTTCCACCATTGCAGCAACAATTTCAACCATTCCAGCAACAATTTCTACCATTCCAGCAACAATTTCCACCATTCCAGCAACAACCTCCACCATTCCAGCAACAACCTCCACCATTCCAGCAACAATTTCCACCATTCCAGCAACAACTTCCATCATTCCAACAGCAACTTCCACAGGATTTACCGGTATCTATTTCGAATAAACGCAAAAGAGTACAACCAAGGAGAAGAAGACGACAACTCAGAACCGTCGAAAGCTATCGGATGGTTTACAATGCTCATCAGAGGGAAATTTTAGAGAGGGAGTATCGCATGAAGGTCTTCATTGATCGAAAGGATAGGGATCGGATTGCTGATGAAACCGGATTAGACATCAGCCAAATTAAATACTGGTATCAGAACAGAAGAGCCAAAGAAAAGAAAGATAGAAGAAAAAGAGAACAATTAGGAAACTAAGTATGTCCTCTGTTGTCTGTACTAAATATTTTGTCAAACTCCTTCAAAGGAATGTATGTTTCATGAATATATATTATTGTTAGTTATTATTATATATGTATGCATTAGTGTATGGTGTGTATGAAATACAACAACAGTAGTAGCAACAGTAGAAGCAAACCACTCAACCGCAAGATACGCCATATATATATATGCCATTTATATTTTAAATTCTTGGTGGTTGCTGTAGTCTTCTTATTGATGATACCCAAGTCAAAATGTTGCCGGTGCTTTCTATAATGATAGGAACTGTTATTTTGTGTTTATGTTTTATTTGACAGATAGATTTATCAGGGAAAAAAAATAGTTAAAAATGCAACTGGAAAATTGTATCTTGTTTCATTCCAATTCAAAAGTTATTGAAAAAATTTCAGTGCGGTAAAAATTTTAAAATGATTTTTATACCGTTGTTGAAGTTTCATTAGAAAATTCTCGGTCAATTACATACGAAAAAACTGCACGGAGATGATTGGACGTTGGAAGTTTATGACTGATTGGTTTCAAGATGATGAAGTCCCCTAATGATTACAACAATAATGATAAAATGGCTGACGATGATTAGATTATGATGGTAATGATGATAATAATAATTATAATGATGTTAGGATAATAATGAAAATAATAATGATGATGAAGACGATGATGAGAATGAGGCCGAGTTATTCTTCATCCATTTTTAGAATTCTTCGTATTTGCCATCTATAATATGCGCGTGTGTTTGCCCGTGTGGGCAGGGTAGTTGCTGTGTTTGTCTATACAAGTTTGTTTGTTTGCGTGTGTGTGTGTGTGTGTGTGTGTCATCAGCGCGTGTGTTTATGTACCTGTCGTATATCTTCGTTTTATTGAGGTGATTAAAAAAACTTGCAAATAAACACGTGGTGATGACGATGACAATGTTGATGATAATAAGGATGATGACGATAAATATGGCGATATAAAATATGATATCTACTCTAAGAGGAAGATAATGATGATGAAGATGATGAGGATGACGTGATGAAGGTGATGATGAAAACGGTCCTAACGATAAAACATTTAAAAATACGTTTACACATTTTTGGGTTTTTTTTTTAATTACCATCACATCATCGTCACAATCATCATAACCGTGTCATCATCGTTATCATCGTCACAATCACAACTTCAACAACAATAACAACATAAAAACAACATCGCATTTATCATATCTAATATTATTCCCATTTATGTCACCATTGATTAAAGCTTCAACCCAGAAAAAGAGGATAGTTCATCAACATATATACACTTATATATGTTTATCGGATCATATGCTTGCACACAGAAAAAAAACAGCCGCATACAAAAACAAATAAGTATAGAAAAAAACATAATCTGACAAATAAACAAACCGACAGAAAGTTAAACGGGCAGACAGAAAAACAGACAAACAGACAGACGTAAACAGACAAACAGACAGACGTACATATAGAGTGGAGACAATCACAAACAGTCACAAACTGGTATCATCTCCAGTGCGTTTAAAGGTTTGTTTGATAACATGCTAATTAGAATTGATATTTTGATTATTCTTTATAGAATGCGTATTCTGTTTGTAAATTTTAATTATTTAGAAAAATTATTTTTATCTCTTTTTTTTCTATATCCGTGAAACGCGACGACTTAACACCAGATTTTCTCCCTATCTTTTTTTTCTCTCTCTCTCTCACTCTCTCTCACTCTCTTTCCCTCTCTTTTTCTTTCTCACTTTCTCCTTATTTTTTTCATACATATATATACCCAAACAAACACACACAGAAATACATACAAACAAATACACACACACACACACACAATTAGAGAGAAAGCAGGATAACAAAAGAATAACAAATCAGAGACATATACTCATATATATTGATATTATAGCCAGTCTAATTAATACTGCAAAAGAATATCTGTGTTTAAATGTTTTGATCTATTTATATTCATCTATTTTAATCATATATTTATTTACACGCACACACCCACGCACGCATATTTGATGACCTATGAGAGAAAGAGAGAGAAAGAGAGAGTGAGAGAGGGAGAGAGAGTTTTATATATGAATATATGCGCATTTTATTTTCATTTCGTGTATTTACTCACGAACAGCTAGACTTTTTAGAGTGCATTACGTTGCATTTGCAGATGAAATCGTTGCCAAACAAAAGTATTAAAGAGAGAAATTAATATCAAAATAATAATAATAAACTTAAATAAATATACAATAAGTAATAATAATAATAAACTTAAATAAATATACAATAAGTAACATAATAACAATAAAAAAGAACGAATGACGATACAATAAAAGAAAAAACGCTACAGTTTCGAATTGAGCGTTCATAATCAATTTGGCAAATCGATTTGACTCGAATCATTTTCATCGATATATTTTCATCGACTCTTGGTTTATTCGATTTAATCCGGTAAAAAAGTGGAACATCACTGGAGCATTGCTAATTCATTTACCTTGTTTTCCAATTTGTTGAGGTGAGGCAGGTTCCATTGTTTGATTGACTCTTTTTTTGCTTTAATTACTTTGATTTATTGATACGATTGCTAATTTTGAGCGTATTATTATTATTGTTGTTGTTGTTGTTGTTATTATTATTATATCATTAATCTATTTTTATTATTACTTTTATTTTTAAATTCAAAGTGATCTTTACATACGTTTTGATGCGTAAGCCTATGGTACTGTTTAACTTCAAGTTGTATTTTTATATTTTTACATACGTTTTGATGCGTAAGCCTATGGTACTGTTTAACTTCAAGTTGTATTTTTATATGTTTACCTGTGAACAAAATGATGTTTGTCTATAGATTTTTGTGTGTATGTATGCATGTGTTGTATTCAGTATGTGTGTATTTACTTGCGTTGTATGCATGTTTGTACATGTTTTTGCGTGCGCGCATAATTATACAAGCCAGTGTGTACGCGCGTCAATATACATACGTAGACACGCATTCGCACATGCATGTATATTTGGTTAATTTAATGTTTGTGGTTTTCATAGCACGAGATGTGTATCGATTGTGAGTATTCTATTCACGTGTTTCGCTCAGCTTGGTTACTTACTATTTGATTTTTGCAGTTGTTTCAATTTAAGTAGCCTTGTTACATTAGATGAAGTGTAGTTTGCTTTGGTTTTTTTTTACTTTGATTTTACACTGAACGTTTTTTTTATATGAAAAAATAATATTTTGCTGTTGTTATTACTCTAGGTTATTTGTCTTTTTTTTAATAATTATTTCATATGGATTGAAAATAATATTAATGATTTTAAACACTGTCTGTCAGTAAATTTCTCAACCAAATAGCCAAACAGATTTGATATATTATCTCACAAAGATAAGAACTGAACGCAACATTTGAAAACAGCAACTTATGCGCTAACTACAACATCAACCAACAAACAAACAACAACATAAAAACCAACAACAGTCACAAAAAAACAACAACCGTACGATAAACAACACCTCCGCCACCGACAACCACAACAAGCAACAACAACATGGAGATGAACAACAACAATTTTGGTAACACGACATCAATGTACTCCACTAGAGTCGTTTCTGTTAATGTTACGAGGTCTTATCATCGATACAAAGGTTGGCCATACGTATATCTGTTACTCTTGAGTAAATATTATCGGTAATTTATGTAACTCGTGATTCATTACTACTTATATGTTATATTAATGCACTCTGACTGTTTAAATGTAATAATTTTTATATATTCTCATTTTACATGCGTAGATCTTAACTGTCAACTAGTTAACATTTATAAAAATTCTTCTTTGTAATACTATCCATTAGTACGTGCAATTTTTGTAGCTTTTTCTCCCTACAATACACATCTGAGTACCGCTGATTCTAAACATTTTTCGACGCTGCACACAAAGCGCCACATAAATGAGACCTTTTTTTATTATTCATAATAATAAATTATAATTATAATTTCATAAATAAACTTTTTTTCATATTACTCACCAAACCAATCTTTCTCAACCCAACTGTAGGCAGGGTGGTGGCCGTGCTTGGAGTCATCCAGGTCATCATGGGTCTCTGGTCTATAGCCCTGGGCATCGCACACACACTGACCTACAGCTACCCGTTCGGTGAAGTTGGCTACGGAATATGGGGAGGAGTTTTGGTGAGGGTTATAATTATTATTACTGCTACTACTACTACTACTGCAGCTACTGCTACTACTACTACTACTACTACTACTACTACTACTACTACTACTACTAATACTACTGCTGCAAAACCGGCAAAGAAACATACATAACTGAACAAGACCAAACATTAAGTCACCTGTGTTGTTGTCGTGGAGACGCAGACGTTTTGTGTGGCTAACGATGATGGCTGTGATGTCGAAGATGATGATGATAGGATGATTATGATGATGATATTGATGGTAATGATGATAGGATGATTATGATGATGATAATGATAGTGATGGTGATATGATGATGATAGGATGATTACGATGATGACGATGAGGAAAACGATGAGGAAAAATTTTCGCGTTGAGGATCATTTTAAATTTTGCTGGGTTGTTTTAATAGAAACTTTTTTTTGCATGGAGTTTAATTTTTTCACGAAGGTTTGATTATTGCATTGAAGTCATTACGAATGTTTTTTTAATGAACATGCACTGAGAATGTTTTGACAGTTATTCGTTCCTTCATTCATTCATTCGTTCGTTCGTTCGTTCCTTCATTCATTCCTTCATTCCTTCATTCATTCATTCATTCATTCATTCATTCATTCATTCATTCATTCATTCATTCATTCATTCATTCATTCATTCATTCATTCATTCATTCATTCATTCATTCATTCATTCATTCATTCATTCATTCATTCATTCATTCATTCATTCATTCATTCATTCATTCATTCATTCATTCATTCATTCATTCATTCATTCATTCATTCATTCATTCATTCATTCATTCATTCATTCATTCATTCATTCATTCATTCATTCATTCATTCATTCATTCATTCATTCATTCATTCATTCATTCATTCATTCATTCGTTCATTCATTCGTTCATTTATTTATTCATCAATCCACTAATCTTTTTAATCACTCTCTCATTCACTCATTTATTTATTTATTCATTCATTCATTTCTTCATTCATTCATTTTCGTTCAATCATCCATTTTGTTGTCTTAATTATGCGCTATTCGAAAAACATTGGCCTTTTATGTTAATCAAGTTTACATTCATACATTTAATTTTGTCATTCTATGATTCACTCATTCTTTATTCATTTTTTGGGAAACCTGACTCGTTCAATCCGTCACTTTCTCGCTCACTCTCTGATTCATTCACTCGTTCATTTACTCATTCGTTCAGTTTTATAATTTAATTAATTATTTATTTAATTAGTTAATTAATTTATAAAAATAATTGAATGAATTAATATAATGAACTGATTGACTTTTTTTTATAAAGTACTGCATAGCTGGCATCGTTGGAATCATATCGTTTAAAAAGCCTACTGCTCAACTGGTTAATTTTTTAATTCATTAATTAACATAATCGTTCGTTCATTCTTTTTGCGTAATTCAATCATTTATTGGTTTGTTCATTCATTCATTCATTCATTCATTCATTCATTCGTTCGTTCGTTCGTTCATTCATTCATCTATCCATTCTGTCAAATATTCCATTCTTAAAAGACTAACACTTTTAAAATTTTGATTTAATCTGTTTATGATCTCAAAAGCAGATTAAAAAAAACTTATTTAAATAAATATTTAAAAACCAACGCAGATAAAAAGAACTTATTTAAATAAACACATGATTAAAATTTAATTTAATCTGAAAACAACACGCAGATAATAGCACACATGGTGTTGTCTATCATCTCGGCGGTGTTTGCCCTCCTGCAGTTGTGCCTGGGTGTTGGTGCTGCCTACATGGACTACGGGGTCAGTCGCGGTTTCTTGAAATATGAAAATCTCGGAAGATTCAGTTTTGTGGTTTGTGGACATGTTTTTTTAAATGTTTTAAATGCGTTTTTTCAAAATTAGGAATAAACTACTGATGATTTATGGTTATTTAGTCTTGATTTTACAAATATTTTTGATAAACCGTTTCGTCATTTCAAAATTTTATAATTATTTTCTTCGCTTCTGAGAGCAATCACATCATAACGTCACACATTAGATTGTATTGCTACATATCATCATCACATTACGCCACACCACACCACACATCACCATATCAGCACAAACGGTAAGTATCATCATTTATCATTTACTCATCTGAAGAATTCGCACTTTAACATCACGTCACGTCATGACGTCACCACAAACAGATTAAAGACAGTCCATATGCCGGCACAGTTGTAGTAGACAGCCTCCTTGCTGTCAGTGCCATCATAGAGGGCTTAGTAGCCATTACGGCGGCCGCCATTGGCTGCGGCGTCACCTGCTGCAACGGCCACTTTGCCGCCTCTCAACAAGAAATCGACAACCCGAGAGTGCAGACGTACGATGTCCGAGAGAAGGAACACAAGTACGTCGTCAATCCGCCGAGTCGGTTTTGAGAATGAAGAAGATGATGATGACGTCATAATGATGATGACTCTGGAGATTGTGACGTCTTAATGATGATGAATGCAAGGGTGATGGTGATGATGATGATGTGATGGTGATTTTAGTGGTGATAATTATGTTGTTGTTATGATTTCTTTTTCCACTCTTACGCTATCATTAACGTCATCATCATCTTCGTCATCGTCGTCGTCATCATCTTCGTCCTCATCATCATCTTCGTCATCGTCATCATTGTATTTATATATTTTCGTTCCATTTATATTAGCATCATTCGCTAGTTGTCCAACTTTTTTGAAAAAAATAAATTTTTTTAAATGTAGTAGTTGATCGCTGATAGCAACGTACTATTAATTTCTTTCTACTCTGTGCTTATTTCATATTTTTGTACTTGAAACTTTTAAGATTTTAAAAATTTTCTAACTTGACGAAATGAATAAAATGCAATTTATTTTTTTATAATTGAGATAATGTTTCATAACATTTTTGTTTTTTGTTAATATAACATTTACAATGCCAATAAATAAGACACTACCATTATGAATTTTCTTTAATCCTTTAATAATCTTGAAATAACTGACAAATAGAATAAAAATCGATGATAATTTTGTTTAATTTTACGCAATTTATAATATTTCTATAAAAACTTTCAATTTTTGTAACCAGAAAACAACATTTTAACGGAATTATTTTTATTTTATAATGCTACTAAATTAACTTAATTTATTATTTTGCTGTTCGTAACTACAAACTTGAAGCGAGTCTTCCCATGTTTTAACTAATTTTTTCTTTGATATTCGCAATATTTTTTGATTATTTAAAACAATAAATTGAACATTTCTGCAAAATTTCTCAATTCATATGAAAAAAACTTAAAATTGCTTTTAAAAAATCAAAATGAAGTCGGGAAGAGGAAAGACGTCAAACAGAGTTGAAAGCGAATAAGGATCATAATACCAAAAAAGAATTTTTTTAAATAAAAAAATGAGTAGAAATATTTATTTTTGTAAATAGTGAAAAAATTGAAATGTGATAGTGCAGTAATAATAATTTCGTTCGCCAGCAGCCACGTTTGCTGAATAAACAATAAATATCCGTCAGATAACATGCAAACAAGTTCATATTGGCCGCGCCCTTCTGAAACTGTGTGCGTCTGTGTGTGTTTGTGTGTGTGTCTGTGTGTGTGAGTGCATGTGTGTGTCTGTGTGTGCGTGTGAGTGCCTGAGTGTGTGTGTCTGTGTGTGTCTGTGTTTGTGTCTTTGTGTGTATGAACTAATGGTACTAAGCAACAATCAAAACAAGAATGATCATGAACCAACAAAATAGTAGCAGCCATCCACAAACATTTAGTAAATGTTCAGTGCTTCCTAATAAAACCACACCTGTCTGTGTATATATGTGTGTGTTTGTATGGACGTGTGTCTGTTTGTATGTGTGTGTGTATATCTGTTTTCATTTGTGTGTCTTGGTGTCTGTTTGTGTGTGTGTGTGTGCGTGCCTAATCAAATTGAACATATAAACACAAAAATATTTGATAATTATTTTTGCTCGCACACACGCACGCACGCACGCACGTTATCTATCAATAATTCTAAACGAACGAATGAATAAAGATATATATCCGGAAATAAAAATTTAACTACTGCTGCATGCATGCGATTATCAAGAGATACCGCAATATGTTCGTGAAAAAATTATCTATCTTCATCGTTCGCGCCAATACTATAGCTACTCCCTTCTCTCTCTCTCTCTCTTTCTCTTTCTCTTTCTCTCTCTCTCCCTCTCTCTCTCTCCCTCTCTCTCTCTCTCTCTCTCTCTCTCTTTCCCTCTCTCTCTCTTTTTTCATTTTCTTTCTCTTTCTTGCTTTCACTCTCCGTTCTTTTCCATTTTTATTTATCTCATCATTTCCAATTTCTGTTCTTTCTTTTTAGTTCATTCTGCTGTCCAAAAATTATTTTTATTCTTAACTATCTTACGACCCCAAAGTTTCAACAACTGACAAATGAATGAAGAATTAGAAACAAAAGAAAAATTGGCAAACAGAGAGTGAGAGAGAGAAAGAGAAAAGGAGAGAGAAAGAGAGAGAATGAAAAAAGTAGAGTATGTAAACAGTACGAGAAACGCCCATGTTTCTTTGTTGAACGTATGTGCTTGCAATAAATAAAAGATGGAAAGAATGAATGAACGAACGAATGAATGAATAAGCAAATGGATGTATACAAATGTGAAGTGGTTAGTTTTAGTGAAATAATTAAAAAACAGACAAAACAAATGATTGACAGTTTGATAAATGAAGTGAATTTTTGTAATTTATACAGCGGTCCTATAACGCCTAAACATCCAACTGAAAGTCAATTCAAAAAATTATACGGATTTTCATAAACACACACACACTCCTCACACACACAACATACACACAAACAAACACACACACACACAAACATTAATAGCATACACATCACACACACAAACGCATACAAAAACGCACACGCACACACACACATACACGTACAAAAACACACACCCAACGCATATTTTTCATTTAAAAGTTGAAAACATCTCGCCCATTTCGACGTTGTTGTGCTATTCTTTCGGTATTTTTGAGCTATGTGTAAATTTAAAAAGTAAATTCATCTTTACGTGTAACTTTACATTTCTGTTTACAGTTTAGTTATTTACTCCAGTTGTAAATATATAATATAATTTATTAGAATTTTTATTTATTGGATTTAAAAAATTTGTAAATAAAACCTTTTAAAAATACAGCGATTCAAACTGAATAAAAGATTGAGATTTAGAAAATAAATTTATATTTTAATTTATATTTAGATACCTCTATCATCATCATTATCATCATTTTTTTATCCCCTGTATCTTAACATCATCATTCAAATCATCAGCATCATCATAATTATCAATGATATCGTATCATCGTTTTATCATCGTTTAACATCATCTGCATCACCGTCTGCATCATCGTCATTGTAATCATTGTCGACATCATCATCAACAATAATAACTACAACAACGTAAAAATGATGATGATGATGATGGTATAATGATGAATATAGTCATCATCATCTTCTTCATCACCATCCTTAGTACATTTCCAAAGGAGTCAAACGAAGACAAGGTAACGTACGTCACACACTTAAACACACAAACAAACAAACAAACAAACAAACAAACAAACAAACAAACATTGTCTCAAACACAAACACACACAAACACACACAAACACACACACACGCACGCACACACGTATATATTCGTTAACATGAATAAATTTTCATTATTCGGCAAAGATTTTAATATTTTAATTTGAAAAAAATATTGAAAATAAATCATAAAGGAGCATGATGCATTTCTGTTGATGCTATTTTTTACTTTTTAAAGTACACAACGCAAGAATTATTCATTAATATTATCGGAAAACAACCAAATAACAAAAACCACACACACGCACACGCGCACACACACACATACATATGCATACATAAATTCTTTTTTTATGTGTATGCTAAATGTTGTTAATAGAATATATTATACATTGTACATATTGATATACACTTCATATAATGAAGGCTGGATTGGCAATGAAAGACAGCAATTCATCAAGCGCCATAACTCTGCCACACCCATGTTTTGATTTATCTACATCATCGTCGTCATCTTCTTCCTCCTCATCCTCATCATCGTCGCCATTGTTGTCGTCATCTCTTACAATACCATCTTTATTGGATGTTGACCATCGTCGTCGTCGTCATCACAAACTCCGACCAAAACGATGGGATTGTCGAAAGCATCATTTCATTAGACATTCAACAGGCACCCAAGATAATCAACAACAACCAACATTACACTGGCCACAACAACAACAACGACCTCAAAATCATCAGCGATCACAACAGCGACAATTGAAACATTGGCTACAACGACGCAGATTGAAACTACACCAACCAAAACAACATCAATCCAAACGACATAACATCTTTAGAAACAAACCTGTTGACGGAGACAACAGAAATGCGGACACTAATGAAATTAACATGAAAGGCACAAACTTTAGTAGTGACACCAACAGCAGAAACCTCAAAAACCACATCAAGGATGCCATCCAAGATAGCATCAACAACAATACAAACATCCACGATAATAATAATAATAATAATAATAATAATAATAATAATAATAATAATAACAACAACAACGTCAACATCATTTCAAACATCATCAACGAATTCAAAAGACGACAAGTTCAACGCCGACATGTAAAAAGTAATTCTCAAGGACATTCATCAGTTGTTGGTGGTGCTGTTACAAAACATTACCAGCATCAACCAATTACGACGTTAAACCATCACAGGCAACCAAACCAACTAGGAAATACTTTTTCTCTTGAATCGACAACCATTATCGTACCGATTATCGACGGAGCTTATTTTCCAAATCGAATTGATTCGGATGTTAAATCGGTTAATAACGATATGGATGCTAAAAACTCTACGATTAAACTTTATAATGATGATAACAACGTTGACACAGATGATAACAGTAGCATTTATAGATATAAGTTAATAATTTTATCATCTATTTCATCTTTTGTAGGTGTCATTATCGGCCTGTCTATATTCTTCATCATCAAAATAAGATGTTTCACAAGATCTCATAACCGTAATTGCGTTTTATCTGCATAAATTTGATTGACTTACTGAATTACAAGAGTGAATTAGTTATAATTTGTCATTTTTATTGAAATGATGCACAATTTTGATTTGATTTTTTTAAATTTTTTATAAATGTATTAAAAAATCTGCTCGGTGAATATTTAGAAAATGAACGCGCAACACGGTTTACGTTTGAAGGTCAACATTCAATGGAACAAAATAAACAAAAAAATAACAAATAAATATATTTAAAGAAAAAAAATTTTAAAGTAAGTTTTTCGTGCACTAGTGAGTGGCGGTGTTGTCTTCCTCGAATTTTTGTTTTATTGTATTTTTAATTTGTACGTTTTATTTTGAAAATTCTTACACACCGGGCTTTTTGTATTGTTGATTAGATACTTAAACTTATTTAGCTTTAATTTAGATATAGACTACTAGAGACTAGTAGAGATAGATAGATATAATAACATTTAAAAAATAATTTAGTAGAACCCCGATTTAATTTTTCTAGAAAAAATGGCGCTCAGACAATTCGCGAGGAGGATCAGCACTCCTGTAAGCGCGTTTTTTCGGAAGATGGTGTACCCGCGAGCAGTGGTTAGGAATACTCCGGTGTCCGTCACTCCCGGGGCTCTGGCGACGACGGCCAGATGTCCACCACCTCATCTGCCAGCTCCTGCTCCAGTCGCTGTAGCTACTGTTGCTGCGATTTCATCTGCGCCAAGACGTCAGTTGCATCAAACGAATGCCTGCCTGAACGAACACATCTTCAACATTCAGGATTCCGAGGACTTCAAGAAGAGAGTCCTTCATAGCAAAGTTCCAACCATTGTCGACTTCTATGCAACGTAAGTCATATGAGATGATGATGATTCAGTTACAAGTTATAAATTATTTATAAAATAATAATGAATGTTGTCCTACAGAATGTTGATTTTACATCTTTGCTTACTGTTACTGATGTAATAATGTTGTTAACTATTGACTCAATTACATTTTCATTGGTTAGTAGTAGTAGCAACAGCAGTAGTAGTAGTAGTAGTAGTAAATGTAAATAGTTAATTCAATAGTAATTTATTTCCTTCCTAATTTTTAAACAAAATGGACAACACCCTGCTATTAAATTATTATATGTGCCTGCTCTATTTTAATGTGTTGTGCTTCATTTTAATGATGGAAAGTTATCTCTGGTAAAACAATACAATAATTATTGCCTTTATCTGGCATCTTTGATAAAAAGTTTTTTCTTCAACATTTTAACCCACCCTAATGTAAAAATAAATTAATAATATATAGTAAATATTGTGCTTGTCAAGTTTTTTTCAACAAAATTATCTGATGTTTCAGTTTAGTAGCAATAATGTTTTGTGATAAATCACTTGTTTTTTCTATAATCATATTGCTTATATGAACCTTTTTTGAGAAACCCACATGCCAATAACCAATCTTTTCATTCTATTGCTAACTGATTTTATCAATCTTTTAAACTCTTCAGAAACATAAATACACAACTCTTTTTTTTACTGAAAATGTGTAATTTGAAGGTTATTGTACTTCTAACTATCACTGTAAAACATCAAATTATTGAAGATATCTTTTACAAAACTATATAAACGATAAAAAATAAATGATATATTTGCTTATTTATATGTATATGTGTATACACATATATATATATATATATATATATATATATATATATATATATATATATATATATATATATATATATATATATATATATATATATATATATATATATATATATATATATATATATATATATATATATATATATATATATATATATATATATATATATATATATATATATATATATATATATATATATATATATATATATATATATATATATATATATATATATATATATATATATATATATATACGTTTTGGTGTCTTCTTACAACTGACCAGATGGTGTGGTCCATGCAAGCTGTTGATTCCTAAACTGGAACAGATAGTAGCCAAGAATGAAGGGAAAGTTGTTCTTGCCAAAATTGACATTGATGTCCACACTGATATCGCCGATAGTTACAGGGTTTTCTCAACTATTTATTTATTCATTCACTCATTCATTCATTCCAACTATCTATTTATTCATTAACTCATTCATTCATCTATTCATTCATTCTAACTATCTATTCATTCATTCGTTCATTCATTCATTCTTGCTTTCTTTCTTTCCCTATTTCTATGTTAATTAAAACTCCAATGCCCAGGTGTCAGCAGTGCCTACTGTGATTGCGATGAAGAATGGCAAAGAATTGGATAAGTTTGTCGGCTTCAAAGACGACAGCACGCTAGAAACCTTCGTCGAAAAGTTACTTAAATAATAATAATAAAATAATAATAATAAAAATAATTTTCCTATATTATATATACTTATTTGTTGTTCAGATAGTTCTATACCATTTTGTTATCCACTTTAATTAATTAGTTCTTTGCTATTTAAATTACTAAATAGTAAAAATATAAAATAATGACAAATTTTCAGTTGTTTATATAAATGTCATCCATTTTGAATTAAGCCCTATTATTATTAATAGCATTCAAACATCTAATTAATTAATTAAACGTTTAATTAATTAATTAATTAATGTTATTGAAATTAATCTCATTAATTAATATCTACTTATTTCTTCTTTTTAGCACTGTTGTATTTCATTTAAAAATTAAAGTTTATATCAGATATTGTCATACAATATATGTTACAATGCATCCAATAGTTATTCTGTCTGTCATTCAACCAACTGTTTTAAAGTTGTTTAAGTACGTTTACAGTTTTAAACATAAACAACATTAACATCGCCGACATGATGTTTATAACTGTTGTTACGTTGCTGTTGTTGTCATTATCGTTACCATTAAATTGTGATTTTACTTTAAGTTTGTGTGCGTATGCGTGCGTTTGTACGAGTGTGTGCGTGTGTGTAAATTCACTTAATTTTGAGAGGGAGACTGTATTAGAAACAAAAGAAATACTGAGAGAATTTATTTGCACAGTTTTTTTTACAAAAAAAAAATCAAAATTCTGTGAAGAAGAAAATTTCATTTTTTATTTGAAAATTGAATCTGGGAAAATCTTAATTAATTTAATTAATCTAGAACTTTTTTGAAACACACAATTTCGTTTATATCTTTTTTTATTAAAGTTCATTGTTACGATATTAATTTGGCAATAATTCATCTGTCTGCTGATAACATCAACTCTGAGTTCATGCTACCCATTCAACATTCGTTCATGACTTCATGCTGCTTGACGTGAGCGTAGTAACAAAAGTCGAATTCAAAAGTTGCAGAACATGTGCGACATTCAAAGTTAACTTTGTTGGTGTTTTTCAACTTCCTCCTCCTAATTGAAACTGATAACTTTCTTTTGTTTGTAAGTGACTTTGGTGATGGAGAAGGTGACGATGACGAAGAAGATGACGACGATGCCGTTGCGTCGATCTTAACCAATCCCAAATCGTCAACTGAAAGATCGAGGCTTATTCCATTTGCTGTTTGTGAGCTGTTGTTGCTTTCGTTGTTAATGCCATTGATGTTGTAATAGTTGAGGCTATTGCTCTTGGTGACGTCATTAAGGTTGCTGTCGACTTCATTGTTGATGTTGTTGGTAGTGTTGGGAGGATGTTTACTTTTTAAGGAAGACGTTAGGATGATTTTGTTGAGTGGACTTCTGTACGGGATGTTCATAAATTTCTGATGTGTTTGTGGTTGGTGTAGCTGTAGCTGCGGCTCTTGCTGCTGAAGCTTTGGAATAAATACATTGCTGAAGATCTGCTGATCTAAATAAATAAATTTTTTTAAAGTTATTCTTTCTAAAATTAAAATTTAACACAAAATATCAACTTATATAAGAAACATGTACATAACAAAGTAAAAGATGGAATGCTGACATGAACATACACGATAATGACAGCTTGTAAATATATAAAATATAGAACTAGTGCACTATAACAGATATCATATAAAGATAAATAGATATCATATATAGATACATATATACAAATACAAAATAGATACAAAACATAGACAATGATATGGAAATAATTCGTGCAATGATACTAACCAATGGGGATTATGTATGTGCTAACATCTTGCCAAACATTATTGTATTGTTGATCATTTTCTACTATATCATTATTGTTGTTATAATAATTTTTACTTTGGCTAATTGTGTCATTAGAATATGGTAGTGGTATAGAGATAATTTTATCACAATTATTATCATCTGAAACATTTTCATCATCACAATCGTTGACATTGTTGTTGTTGTTGTTGTGTACATTCAGATGGCCTTTCTTTAAATGGTATCTGAGGTGCTTAGCGATGCTGAATTCATACTTGAATGTTTTATTGCACCTATAGCACTTATAAATTTTTTCATCATTTGCATCATCACTGTCATCTTTATCATATGATGGTATGTTAATGCTAGAATCAGACGTCACCACCTTATCGTTATCGTCTTCTTCTTCAGTTGTGAGTTTACCGTCATCACCATCATCATTAAGAATATGGTTATTATCTGATTGAGGTTTTTTCTTCCTGGTGGGAGGAGGAAATGATTTAGCCTCCCAATTCATTATCGTCATGTTTCTAGGTGGTGAATATATAAGCAAGTTATACCTTAATTGTTAAGCAATAATAATGAACAAAAATAATTAATGAATGATTCAAGAATTTTATTACCTAAATTCTAAATATTATTATTAAAAAAAATATTTCACTAAAAACTAAAATGACCAAATCGTTTAATTAATTAAATTAAAATTTAAATATTAAATCACTATAAAAAAAATAAAATGTCAAAGCAGGCAACCATAAAAGGAAAGACAGAAAAGACACTTTCACTAACTGACCTTTCAAGTTCAAGTTTACTGATTTCGTGTGCCTTCCACATGTGAAACTTCATCGACCTGACCCCACTGAAGACTGCATTGCATAGGGAACATTTGACGGATTTTTGTAGGTGAAGTTTGCTGTGAGTCTCAAACGTTGTCAAATCGTTGAAAGTGGCGCTACAAAATTCGCATTGGAATCGTTTTTTCCTTTGAAACATTTAGTAAATTTATCTTTTTGTTATATAAAAATGAAACAGTTTCTCTGATCACTAATTACTCGGCAGAATAAAGCCTAACTAATCTAAACTTTAAAGCACCTTAACTTGACTGCAACTGTTTACATTACAAAAACTGTGATCTATCTAACAATCAAAACCTTTAACGAGAAAAGTAAATCTAAGTAAAAAATTTCAATTTTCTTGCTTTTCTAATAATAGCTATGAACAAAAAATCATCCTATATTTAAACATCGCCAGAAACACCTGGGTTTTTTTTCTCTCATTCAATTAAAATGCCCATCTATCCATCCATTCATACATGCAAATGCACACAGATACACACAAAATACAAACATATGATCGACAATTACCTGTATTGCGTTTGTATATATATGTGGTAATGTATGACAAGCATATATACAATTACTTTATATATATATATATATTATTGTATGTATGTATGTATGTATGTATGTATGTATGTATGTATGTATGTATGTATGTATAGTAATGTAATACTATTGTATAAAACCCCACTGTTCTGCATTTTATATTTATATGAGACAATCTGATTTGTCGTCGGTTGAGGATGTTCGAATGATTCCAATTAGATTCCACTTCGTGTGAGAGTTTAATTTAATTTATTATAAATTTAAATAATTCTAAAAAGTAAGATTTGTTTTGAATATTAGTTTTGATATTGAATTCATTGTTAACTTAGCAAAATATTTTTATTGTTGATTGTTGTATAATATGAATATGACACTGACTATTTCACCTTATTAATGGCTTAATTAATTTATTTTTAAATTTTGGTATGATGATTTTGTTTATTAATTCATTTTTGTATATAATTTTATGTTATTATTATTGTTGTTTATGTTTTCATTCAGATGTGTATTAAAAATTTCCTATCAAAATTTAAACATTTAAATTTGTATATTATATAGAAAATAATATAAAAATATACCATAATATACCATACAAATACGTTGTATATGTACGTTTGGTATGTATGTATTTGTATGTACTATACATTTGTTGTATATTTTAAAAATATATTCAATAATTTTTTATAATTTTTAAAAATCATTGATAGGTTTCTTGCTGGATGTGAAAACCAATCTTTATAAGGAAGTGCTATCATTTTCAAGATTTTCTGTATGGCCACATAGAATCAATACTGACTATAGTTTATATACAAACAGCCATGAAGCCTTATACATTATATGTCACCAGTAAGGGACATCTGCTTTTTATCGTTTTTGTTTAAAAATCATTTTCATCTGATTTGGTTTTTGTTTGCAAAGATTTTCTAAATATGTATTGTGTTGGAAACGGAGTGTGTGTGTGTGTTTATGCTTGTGTGTGTGTACGTGCATCTATATGTGTGTGTCCATCTTTTGTGTGTTTGTGTGTGCGTGTATTTGTGTATCCGCATATTTTATGTCTGTCTATACGTGTGTGTGTGTATCTGTACATAGATAATATTTTTTTATTTAATGAGTTTCTTATTCTTATTTCAGTTTATGGTGCCAAGGATTTAAAATCAAAAACAGGTGAATGCAACTTTTGTCATGGCTTGAAGTTCTCTCCATTTTCTATTATATTACCATTTATAATATACACGTTGTATAAAAAAAACAATTATCACTATATGGTGTATTTATATTTATTGCTGTTTTAACCGACAGGCAAGCACAAGTTCTGTGTTGAAGCAAAAGTTAACAAGGCCAAACAGAAATCAGAGCTGGTTGAGGACCTATTTGGCAATCCAACTTTTAATAAAGAATTTATATTGTTAGTATCTAGCTTTGTTGTGTGTGTGTGTGTGTGGGTAGGTGTGTTTGCGTGCGTGTGTGTGTGTGTGCTTGTGTATGTGTGCGTGTGTGTGCTTGTGTATGTGTGCGTGTGTGTGTGTGTTGTTTGTAAGTGTGTTAATACGAATAATAAATGGATCAAATGATTCATTTCCAAAGATTCAACCGAAAACTCTGAATTAATGATGTCAGAATTAAAATTGCAAATTACCTGATCCTGCAAAGTTGATATGGTGCATAATTATTTAGACTGGCACATGAATAGGAATATGTCATGTGTATGTTTGTGTTTGTATATGTATGTATGTATATGTGTTTATATTTAGTTAAGATATATGATACCTATAAACAAGCAGATGAAGCAATTTTTTGTTGTTTTCAATTACCAAAAAAATGAGACAATAAATTTACCGGTGTAGAAAGCCATACCTACTTATTTATACGCACCCACACACACACACACACACAACACACACAACACACACACACACTCACATATATAAACACACACTTGATCGTACGTACATATCCATTGTATAACAACGTTTGTACATTTAAGCACGTACAATTGTTTCGTTACCAAATCATCCGCGGTTGCTATTGATTTCATATACTAAGAAAATATCTATTTATTGTTTTTCGTAGTTATGATTATCTTCTTATCATCATCGTTGTCTTCGTCATCATCGTTGTCATCATCATTCTTACTATAAAGGTAATTGTAAGATGTTTCATCAACCGTTCAATATGGTTCTTTTTCAAGTGTTTTATTTTCAAAGCATTCAAAGTTGAACCATTCAAAAATGTTAATTATTTCATGAATTTCTTGCAAATTGAAGATGTTTTATTCACAAATTTTATGGTTGCCACTATTAGTCATTAGTCTCATCGTTGTCAATTTATTCAGTCACATCGTTGAAATTGAAATTTTTTTTAATAGTTTTATTTAATAAAAATTTAAAAGCCCCGTAGATGGTCTGAATTACGAATTGAAGCTAAAAGTGAAGGAAAAGAACGACAGGGACATATTGGGGCAGGTCAAAGTTCAAATCACAGATCTTCAAAACTTCAAATCAGAAACACCGGAACGTGCCCCGTTGAGACCTCACAAAAAATGTTCCAACCCTTCCGGGGAACTTCTTTTCGACGCCTGGGTCACTGGAGTCGTCGATCCTGCCAATTTGAATCTCAAGAAGAAAACCTCCTCTATAGAAAGTTTGAAATCTTTGAGTGGTCTGAAAAAAATTCAGGAAAAACTTCACGCGTCCGTGGCCAAGTTACATCATAGCAAAAACGATGATGAAAATGACGACGACAGCGTCGGTACGGATAAAAAAAAGAAATTTAAACTTTTTTCCAACAAAAACAGATTAGCAGCTTCCTGTGGAAATCTAGCAACATCTCAGAAAGGAATGAGTCTTTTTCACAAAAATGCATTTAAAAAAAGTGTTCAAGACCCCTCGCCAGGTGGCAGTATCGAAAATATTTCAAAAATTGATTTGTTCAATTCGTTTGGTAAGAAAACAAACTCTGGTTCGATTGTGATGAATTACAAGCTACCTCCTCCGGAAGTTACGGGTCTGTCTCCTAAAATGGGATCTAAAAACGGCGGAACTGTAGTTACGATTCGCGGTTCTAATTTTGGTGAAAGTGGTGGTGAGTTGTTGCACGTTTACGTCTGCGGAGTTGACATGGTGAAAAACACAAAGCACATTTCTTCAACTAAACTCATGTGTACAACATTGCCCTGTCAGCCGTGCACTGGAAACATCGTCGTTGAAACTAAATTTGGAGGTTTGGGTTCCTGCGCTGTTGAATTTTCTTTCGTTGAAAAAGAGAAAAATTCAGATTACGAGGAAATAAAATTATTGGCAGAAAAAGACCTTGACGACTCACCTCAAAAAGTATCTTCAACTAATGTAAAGGATGAAGATAGCATTAGTGGCAATAGTAGTGGAAGTACGTTTAGAAACAGAAACTTGGGAATAATTATGGAATCGTCATCTGATGAAAATATTGACCAAGGGAGTGTTTTGCGCACAAAAGCTACCAATGCCTCTTTAAAAAGTCAAAAAAATTCTGAAGATGATGATGAAACAAATAAAAAAATGATTTCCAATTATGATTCATTCTACAACAACAAACACGGTGATGGGCTCACATCAAAGAGTAACGGTATTCTGTCAACTAACGATTTTTCACAGAAAAGCCATGATATGTTTTCACCCGAGAAACTGCAAAAAGACATGAATGAAAAATTTGAGAAGAATGATGACAAACAGAAAATCGAAACGGATTGTAAAATTAGCGGGGACAAAGATGAGGATGAGACTGGAGACAATGATTACTCAGTGATCGTCAACAAGTTGAACAGGGCCTCCATCAATGCACAAATGTTTGAGGAAATGATAAAAAATTCACCTAGTACTGAGATTTATAACAAGTATGATCAAAATGTCAACCGCATAAATAGAGACAACATAGACGTTTATAAAAATGCTTCTGACAGCAGAAAATCTCAGCCAGAACAAAAGAACGAGGAGGTCAATTCAACGTTTTTCAAACCTGCAGAAGTTAAAACCTCACATATTTCCATTCAACTTAAACAAAGTCCCGACACAAATATCATCAGAGAAACACGCCTTAAGAGTTTGGCTTCTAAAAATTTAGGCCGATTGAATGAAAAACTAAAAAATGATTCAACTACATCAGATCTCGTTAAACCTATTCCTAGAGCTTCCTTCAAAATATCTCCCGAGTCCTCCAGCTCTGATGATGACTCTCTGGATAGAAGGAATAAAAATAATATTTCAAAATCTATCCCCGCCACAACCACGTCATCTGTATCTTCACATAACATCATCCCATCAACGACCGCTCCATTCCTGCCTTCCTTCAACAGCCAGGATGCCAATTTCAAAAGCGAGATAAAAATGTTCAACGCTTTGAACAAGGAAGCAAGCGCTGCAAAAAATGTTTTCGATCTTCAAATAAACAATGATGATGATCAATACAGCATAGTCGATAAAATTGTTACGGGTAGGTATCTCAATTCGAAAAATCAAATAAATTCAGCTACACAACAACCAACAACAAAAACAGTTACACAACCAACAACACAATCAACATTACCCACAACAACAGCTAAAACGACAGCAACAACAACACAGCCATCTATGCCAACTCAGGCTTCAATCATAACTGCAGATACGGACAACGACTTTTTGACTAGTAAAAGTCTGCTCCAGGTGGAAAGCACTCCTCTCTCCGAACAAACATTCATTGATAACAACGACAAAACTGCTGCAAACAGAAAATCTGATCATTCTTTAGAAAGAAAAGTTGTTGAAATACAGCCATTAAGTCATTGTTCAAACGATTCTAAGAACAATTTATTCCTACAAAACAATTTCTCTCAGAACTCTCTCGACAATGATGACGACTACGAACGATTAGACGATGTAAATTTTTCGATAGCAAACTCTCAAGATAGTCTCAACGACCACGCCTTTCACGCGACTGCTGCTGAATCGTCGATCGACGCTGACAAATCATTTAAGAACAGAAAAAAACTGACCCCAGATATGCGTCAATTTTACACAAGTGAAGATGATGCCGACACTCTGCCAGTGCCATTTCCACAACCGTCATCGCTACCCTCCTCCAAGTCATTCACGGATTGTGAGAAAGTACAAAATGCCAACAACAACGATCGTTTCAACAGATCCAGAACTCCAGATGACGTCTCGGCAGCTCCAGTCAAACCACCGCGGATGAAAGATTTTATTAGATCGGCGGATGAGATGGAAGTGAAGACATCTGCTGAGCCATTCAAAACTCCCAGGATCGTCGTCGACTCCTACAAACCTGACAACGCAGATGTTGAATTCATGAGAGAAAACGAAAGTTTCACTAAAAGTATTGTTTCATCAATTACTTACCGTTCATCATTATTAAAGCTTCCAATAATTTGCAAGTTATGTCTCAGTGACAATGTCAATAATTTCAATTATTATTTCAATTATTCTGTCAAATTTTCAATTTAAATTATTATTTTAACTATTCTGTCAAATAGTAATAGATGCACTTTAAAAATTTTCAATTAACTAGAAGACATCGTGAACAACACAGCCATCATCAGCCATTTCAAGGTGTGTTATCTATCTATCACGTCATGATTTTTATAAACCATCATAATGCGCGTGCGTGCTACGTTACGTTACGTTATGTTATTTTATGATATCATATGAATAGTAAAGATATCGGCTTATGTGCACACAAGCACTACCTTACACACATTACACATAACATACAACATGCATGAGTTTATAAGCTGCCTTGTTAATTAGATAACAGTTAGGAAATCACTTGTTAGTTAGTTTTTGTGTCGCGTGCGCGTGTTTCTTTGGAGCAGTGTTTACGTTTATGTAATTTATGCGCGCATGCAGTAAGCGTAGGCTATATGGTTAATAAGTTGCCTGAAACTAATTTAAATTTGAATAAGCCTGAAACTAATTTAAATTTGAATAAATAATGAGGACTTCTGTGCTGATTTTCATTCTAATTATGATAATTACGACCGTATTAATAATAATGATAATAATTATGACGGTATTAATAAGCGTAATAATAATAATATCAATATTAATGATAATAGTGATAACAATAGTTGCGATGCTTGCGATGATAAATGTGACTTTCTCAGTAACAACCATTGTAATAATGGTGGTCCTAACTGTGACAATGATGACGATGGCGACGACGATGATGATGTTGATAGTTGTCGTGATTACGACAAGCAAGGTGATAATTTTGAAGGAATCGGAAAAACAGCCGGAACTTTGCAGGACGCAGTCGCCAAAATTGACCCTAGAAAGCGACAGTGACGTCAACGAAAGATTAAAAAGTTAGTTGCAAACTACTTTTCTAACCTTTCTTCAATACTTTTTAATAATAATATTATTAATAAGCAATTAATAATAATTTTTTTTATTAAACAATAACGTTTAAAAATTCGAACAACTTTACTAAATTCGTAACCACTTGACAACAACTTAGAACTGGCGACCGATCTCGAAGCCAAGGATCAAACGCTAAAAGAGTTGCAACTGAAAAACAAATGTTAGCTGATTGTATGAAATTCACACACACACAAACATACAAACACACACACGCATACACATATACACACGCAAAAATATAAATAACCAGCAAACATGTAAGGTTCACACGTTAGTAACAAGCAAGTATAAATACCTACTTGTATACGCACATTCACTTCACTCACATGTGAGATTGATTGAACATGCATGCATTCCTTCATTAAGTGGCTATACAATTCATAAGATTATTAATCGCAGATTAAACATAAAGATTAGATTAATAAATCTTTCTCATTATATCAAAAATAATAATTAAAAATAATTAAGTTAAATGATTAAATATTAAAATAATCCAAAATGATTAGCTCTGCAAGAGGAAAGAGATTTACTAAGAAGATACATTGAGGTGCTGATATCAAGGGCGCTATCCACATGTCCCGAGATACTATCTAGAGATGATCGGAAGATATCATTCAAGTGATTGATTGACTAATTGAATGAATGAATAATTGATTGCTAGGTAGATTACTTGATTGATTTAACCGATTGACAGTCTAATTAACGGGTGTTAATTACAAACAATCAATCAATCGCCTAATCAATCAAACAATCAGAATGGCCATTTGATTGATTGATTGATTGAATGATAGAGTGATTGTTTGTCATTCGACTCGCCAGACGAATGACTGACCGTACCAGCAATAAATAATTCCTTCTCCGTTTTTTCTTTGTTAATCCGCTCATCTAATCATTATTTATCTGCCGTATTACGTTTTTAATGTATAATAAAAATCGCCATAATATTGATAACATTAATAATAATTATTATATATTATTATTTAATAATTTAACATTTTTACTTATTGATATTTTTTACGTAATTAAATATATATATATATATATATATATATATATATATACATATATAAATCTAATAAATGTATGATGAAGTGATGAAGATTAATGATAATGACAGCAACGATGATGATACTAATGTATATAAATACAATGATTTTGTGATAAAGATTATTATTTTATTATTACTATGCTAAATGATAATATTAATATATTTTTATATTATTTTATTTATATTACGTTTTATTGTTGATTATTTTCACAGATTTGAACAAACAAACAAATAAATAAATAAAATAGATAATTCTTCACAAATTACTTTCTATTTCGAGTTGTCAATGTATGTTTATTATAAAACAATGATGATGATAATGATGTTAATTAATAATATCAATAATAATATATTTATGGCTAATTTATAAACGACTGAAAAGATAATAATAACAATAATAATAATAATAACCACGATTATTTACATAATTATTATGTAAATCATATCTCTATTTTTATCAAAAAAAATTCCACAAAGTACATACATAGATAGATAAATAAATAAATATTAATATAGAAAAATTGTGCTACAAACATTTCATTAATACAATGTTTGTTTGTTACGTCATAATTAACAAAGGAACAATAATAATAATAATAATAATAATAAAAGGAACAAAAATGATATTGATAATGATCCTAATTATATTGATGATGATGATGATGATATGACGTCATATTCGAGTGATGTGAGGATGATAGGACCAGACTACCGACAATGATAAAAAATGATGATGATGACAAGAAATGATGATGACACCTTTAAAAAATGGAAATAATAACAATATAAATAACAATATAAATAATAATGATATGAATCAGATGATGATGACAATGATACTGGCAAAGATCAAGATATTAGCTACTCATTTTATTATTATTATTACTATTATGCTGGCAGTGCTCCTACTTAAACACGCACGCACGCACACGCCCACACAAACAATCACACACACACATACACAAAGCATTAATATGTACACCGTTTGTTCACATACAAACTTGCTAACACGCTCACACATACAAAACAAAAAGGTTATACATTGTAAATAAAGTATACATACCCCTTTTCACAGACACACTTGCACGCACACATATTACACAAAAAGACAAACACATAAGCACGCAGAGACAACACTTTTCAAATGTAGGACATAACATTTTGATATGAGTTTAGTCAGTTATTGTAAAAATATGCAAGACGACTACAAATAAATGCACATGCATCACAATAAACGTACGCATACAAACAAAAACACAAGTGTACACACACACACACACGTGTACATACACACACACGTACACACACAAACGTACATAAGTGTATAAAATTGTTCAATCACACAGAGTAAGAATTTCGAAAAGACAATTGAAAAACATAACATGAGCAGTAAAATAATAACAGTAAAATCGATAGTTTATCAAAAAATTTTTAAAATAGAGAGAGAGAGAGAGAGAGAGAGAGAAAGAGTTGAGACTCACGTAGTCACAGTGATTTTTAAAAAGCACATCGCCTTCAGTTTGAAGGTAGAAAAAAATGTTATTAATTATATTGTTTAACATTTTTTTCAAAATAAGCATTGTTGACAAGATTAATATTACAGAACTTATTTTCAGTGTGGTTCTATAGTTAGGTTAGTTTAAGTTCGTCTCTGTGTGTAAGTGTGTGTCACAGTGATTTTTAAAAAGCACATCGCCTTCAGTTTGAAGGTAGAAAAAAATGTTTTTAATTATATTGTTTAACATTTTTTTCAAAATAAGCATTGTTGACAAGATTAATATTACAGAACTTATTTTCAGTGTGGTTCTATAGTTAGGTTAGTTTAAGTTCGTCTCTGTGTGTAAGTGTGTGTCACAGTGATTTTTAAAAAGCACATCGCCTTCAGTTTGAAGGTAGAAAAAAATGTTATTAATTATATTGTTTAACATTTTTTTCAAAATAAGCATTGTTGACAAGATTAATATTACAGAACTTATTTTCAGTGTGGTTCTATAGTTAGGTTAGTTTAAGTTCGTCTCTGTGTGTAAGTGTGTGTCACAGTGATTTTTAAAAAGCACATCGCCTTCAGTTTGAAGGTAGAAAAAAATGTTATTAATTATATTGTTTAACATTTTTTCAAAATAAGCATTGTTGACAAGATTAATACTACAGAAATTATTTTCAGTGTGGTTCTATAGTTAGGTTAGTTTAAGTTCGTCTCTGTGTGTAAGTGTGTGTGTGTGCGCGTGTGTGTCTGTGTTTGTTTGTGTGTCCTGGTTTGTTTGTGTGCCTGTATTTGTTTGTGTGTCTGTGTTTGTTTGTGTGCTTGCTAAAAGTAAATTACAATATTATAAATCTGATACAAAATAATTAAAATTAACTCGACAATTAATATTAACATTAATTTATAACCTTTGATGGCTATTTATTTATACAGCAGATAATAAGATAATGAGTAACATGTGTGTGTGAGTAAATTTCTTAACTATAAGTAAACATGAAAATGATGATTAATATAATGACGGTGATAATAATAATAATAACGATAACAATGTAATAATTATCATTATTATTATATTAATTATGATAATAATAATAACAATAATAATGTACATACAATGAAAACATAAAAACCAAACATATAGATATATATATATATATATATATATATATATATATATATATATATATATATGTATATATATATATATATATAATATTGTATGAATTCAGGAATTCTACTTGTAAAATCATACAATACTGCATAAAATATGGTCTTCTTCCAACACATATATATATACATACATATATATATATATATATATATATAATTAAATATATATAGATAAATTAACAAATATACACGGATCATAAAATCAGATGATGTTTTGTACAGAATTTTGTCAACATCAGTACCTCTCTCCCCATGTTAGTTCTTTCAATTGAAAAGAATGATTAGTGAAAAGTAAAATGTAAGTAGAGTTTTTATTTAGAGATTAAATAAAAACTTGTTAATTGCAATTATAGAAATTTAACATCTTCTGTACTGTTAATTAATTTATCTATATAGTTATTATTACTCTACTAATTAAATTATAATAATTATAAGTGAACATACACAAACACACACACACATAATATATGCACACATACATACACATACTAATTGATGATAGTACACATCAAATGACTCATATCACTGAGTTATTAGTTTACAAAAGGTTAACATTTTCAAAAATAAGTCATCAACACTGTCAATTTATTATATCCTTATTAAACAGGCATCTTGAATAAAACCATTCCAAGCAGTGAATGGCAAACAGATGATACAGTGTATAGAGTAGTGATAACAAAAAAAAGAAACAAGCTAACATACATGCACGTACGTACACACGCACACATAAACGCAAATAAACAAATCACTCACATGTGCTGGTATGTACAAGTTAATTGATGATAAAACTTACAATAGATCAATATGTAGATCTAGAATGTGCTCTAACCTATGGATACAAACAAACGTTTATTTATAGTCACACACATTTACACAAACAAACAGATACAGACACGCAAATGCATTCTATATATATATATATATATATATATATATATATATATATATATATATATATATAGATCTATCCATCAGGTCAGTTCGTTCACAGGCTTGTTCATACCGTGAACGGTTCTGAGGTGAACGAAGAGATTGTGTTTGTAGGTGAACCCGGTACCGCAGACGGAACATGAGAAGTCCTTTTCGAGGTTGTGCTTAGTGGCGAGGTGGGCTCTCAGATCTCTTAACAGGCGCATCTCTTTAAAACATATGCTGCATTTATACCTGTGTGTGTGCGTGTTTGTGTGTGTGTATGTATGTGCGTGTGTGCCAGTATCAATGACGAAGGCATCAGATTGTAACAATTTTGTGAGTTATGACTGAAATTGTGAACTTTTAAAACTATGGTGAGAGCATTTATGGATGGTCTATGTAATTATGATTCGCTTTATTCATAAAAAATTTCTTGATATAAAATTAAAATGAATAAAAAAATTGATAATAAACATTCCAAACAAACCTTCCTCGACTGCCGGCTTGTCCGTTGGAAAGAACCAAAGATTCAAAAAACGTAGACTGTTGTTGCTGCTGCGATGATGACGACAATGGTAGTGATGTAGTGGTAGAGGCAGTTGTAGTTGCAGGTAGGTTGTTGGTTTGTTGCAGCTGCATGTGTTGCTGCTGCTGCTGTCCCATGGAGAGAGGCTGCAACTGCTGCATGGAAGTAAATGGCTGGCTGGCATTTCCTGGTTTCGTTGGCAAGTTCATTCCTACCAGAGCTGTCGTCCCATGGACCTTAGTTTTTCAATCATTGAATAACATAACAATATTAGTATTATCATCATTATTTCTATCATTTAGTTAGTTATTATACTTTGCTATCATTAAAAGTGGGAAAAATGATGGATAATTAATGTACAATTAAAAAGAGTACAATTCTAACCAAATTCTGAAAATCAGGCAGACAATCATCGCTAGGAACAGTCGACCAGTGTGAGTAAGCAGCTGAATCGTTGTTACATACTGCCGACTGCAGAGAGGAGTTCTCATTCTCCATCGGTTCACTTTTAAATTTTGGCGTACTGACAGCAACTGGATGTTCAGGAACACCTTGCATATTAGTAGAACCACTAAAATTCATACTATTATTATTACTGTTGTTAGAATTATTATTGTTATTATTATTATTACTCATAGGGGATAATCTTTGACTGTGTTGTCTATTGCTTTGGTTTAGTTTTCTCATTTTTTGTTGGAACTGATTTTCTTCATTTTCGAAATTTTCATTATTTGATCTTTTAAAAGATGTTGAATTTAAATCTTGGCTGTGATGATTGTTCCTTGTCTGCCTATTTTGTCGGTTAGGATAGCTGGGGCTGTTAAACTCATTTGGATTGTTGGTGCTGCTATTGTTGTTGTTGCTGCCGCTGCTGAGAGAGTCGTCTGCCGAACAATGTACCCTGTGATGCTTTGGGGGCAAATCATGAGACTCGTTAACTTCCCGAAGTGCATTGATGTTGGTGTTGGAAGAACAAGAAATACTAACACCGACTTTTGATTGAGTGATGTCGTCGTTATAATAGTCCGAACCAGACGGATCGTCGTGATCAACATCGTTTTTGACACTTTCATTTATGTTAATTAGTAAGACTTCGTTGCGATCCAAGGTAACACCGATCAGAGCTTCAATTGAAAATTCACTTTTAAAATCCAAACCATTTTTACATAAGAGGACAATAGTTTCCGTCAACAGAGCTTTCACTCTTCGTTGCTCCTCGCTCAAAATCATTGTTCCAATTTTCACTAACTTTTAAATTTATAAAAAAAAAGACGATCGGAATAATTAAAAACGATCACCAGCAAACCAAATCCAAACAAATAAAAAAATTGTTTTTTATTTAAAATGTTCCAAAACTATGCGGTCCCACTAACATTCACAGAATATAATTTCACTAGGACGATTGGAAAACAGTTTTAGAAGGTGAAAATGGCGTTAAATAGTAGAATTTGTTTCATAAAATATGGAAAACAAAATTTTATTGCAATTAAATAAATTTGATCTAGGTATTAACATCATTTTCAATTAAATATCAACGAGAAACCATATTCAACAAGTGGTTTTTATTTTATTTACATTCACTTGATCTTAAAACAAAAAGTTTTGAAATAATTTTTACCATAAGTTAAACTTATTACCATTACTAATAACTTTCTTCGTCACCTTATTTTAGAAAAAAATCAAAATAACAATTCGTGATCTTTGGAATTCTTTCCTGCCTTCTCTTAATGTTTGTGGTTCTGCCATTTTTATAGTATTAATACGTCGCTTTGTTTCTGTTAAGTTCATTTTACGTCTGCTCTATGAAAACAATTTAATTTTTGTTTACGGAAAACATTTCTATACTAAACATCAAAATGGCAGATGCCGATAAACTCAACATAGATAGCGTCATAGCAAGACTTCTTGAAGGTAAGTGACTTCCGTGGGGGCTTGACTTTTTCCTAATTAAAATCATTTTTTGAACCTGAATCATAATCAATCAACAGACAAACTTTTAGATTGTTGGCTGTCTTGGGGCCTATATTTTTTTTTCTTTTTTTGCTCGACTTAATTGGATTTTTTTTGTTTTTAAAATTTAAAAGTCAGGGGATCCAAGCCCGGCAAAAATGTACAACTCACCGATAACGAAATTCGAAGTTTGTGTTTGAAATCAAGAGAAATATTTCTCAGTCAACCTATTTTACTAGAACTCGAGGCACCTCTAAAAGTTTGTGGTTAGTATCTTTTTTTTTGGTTAACCTCTAACAATAACATTAACATTACATAAGTAAAGCTGACTCTATTCAATAGTGACAAAATATATTACAATCATGCATCTTGATCACATTAAATACAGGATCTAATATTTTTTTCAAAAATAGGAGATATCCATGGTCAATACTATGATTTGTTGAGATTATTCGAGTATGGAGGATTCCCACCCGAAAGCAACTATCTATTCCTTGGGGACTATGTCGACAGAGGCAAGCAATCTCTTGAAACAATTTGTCTCCTCCTAGCATACAAAATCAAGTACCCAGAAAATTTTTTCCTGCTTAGAGGCAATCATGAATGTGCCAGCATCAACAGGATTTATGGTTTCTATGACGAATGTTAGTCTCTTTTGTCATCCTTGTATCAATTTAAGGCTTTAAGCATTTTTGTTCAGTTAGAATGTTATTTTAAAACTGTGAAAACACTTATTTTAATTATGTCTAAATTATTTTTTAAACACTAATAATTTTTTCATAAAAATTTCATTGTTTAAACTGATCAAATTGTTGAAAAATTATTATAAAAACCATTGAAACAGGCAAAAGGCGTTACAACATAAAACTCTGGAAGACATTCACAGACTGTTTCAACTGTTTACCCATTGCAGCAATCATTGACGAAAAGATTTTCTGCTGTCATGGAGGTGGTTGTTCACCTTTCTTAATCTTCTTTATTAAAACTTTATTCTTTCATATTCATTGTGGACATGCAAATGTATTTTACTTTTTTTTTCTTTTAATTTTTTTTATTATTTATTCTGTTGTAGCCTAATATTATTTTACATTACACAATTTATTTTCTATATTTTTCTATAAAATAATTTGAATTTGACCATGAAGGATTGAGTCCGGACTTGCAATCCATGGAGCAGATCAGACGAATTATGAGACCAACAGATGTTCCCGATCAGGTGATTAACATTTCTGACACTAACCTAGATAAACTTTCCAACACTAACCTAACTAACTTTTCTGACACTACCTGTGCAACTCATCATCATCATCTTTATTTGTGTAGTGCTCATTCATCTTTGTCATATTTGCCGCTTCTTTGTTGTCATTATTTTGCTTCCTCTTGCATCATTGGCATGTTGTTTGGTCACTTCTGTGTGAGTTTAACTGCTATGCAGACTAACGAATGTCTTGTGTCATTTTTTAAAGATTGTGGTTGACTTAGTTGTTTCACTGTCACTTACTATCCTCTGTTTACTATTTGATTTGTGTACATGTTATTAAATTCTGCCAATTTAACCATTTTTCTAGCGATTATTGATTAAAAACCCATTTTTTATAGCATGGATTCTTATAAAAATTTTCAATATCAATAAATACATCCACACATAAATCCTTATCAAAGCAGCCATTATTTTAGATCTTGTACTATGTTCAAATATCTTTACTCTTATGTTAAAGAATGTTTCGCATTCAATTGGACAGGGTTTGCTTTGTGACCTTTTATGGTCTGATCCAGATAAGGAAGTGTTAGGCTGGGGTGAAAATGATCGTGGTGTGTCCTTCACCTTTGGGGCAGAGGTCGTTGCAAAATTCCTTCACAAACATGATTTGGATTTGATATGCAGGGCACATCAGGTTTGTGGTCTCTTGATGTCATTGTTGTTTTGTGCTTGATTTTATGTAATTTTATCACCAGCATAATTCTTATTGGTTTAAGGAAAAAAGATATTAATTAATTAAACTGACATATGACCTTCATAACAGGTCGTAGAGGATGGTTATGAATTTTTCGCAAAGCGCCAACTAGTGACGTTATTTTCAGCACCGAACTACTGTGGTGAGTTTGATAATGCTGGGGCAATGATGAGTGTTGACGAGACTCTCATGTGCTCATTTCAGGTTTGTTTGTGTGTGTGTGTATGCACATTCATCATGGTGTATACTTATGTCCCTACTTATCTATGCAACCCAATAATATGATTAAGGAGAGTTGTTGAGATTTTTAAATTTGTCAATAAGCTATGCACTCTGTGAGCTGTATGTAGATAGATAGATATTGTTTATGTAATAAAAATTGTAATGCATATTTGGGCTGTTATTTGTTTGTTATTAAATTCAGCTAAGACCAATTCCCACATTTATATATATATATTATATATATATTATATATATTATATATATATTATATATATTATATATATATTATATATATTATATATATATTATATATATTATATATATATATATATATTTGACAAAACATTATTAATAACGTTATTACTACAATAACAAATACAATTGTAGTAATAACGTTATTAATAATGTTTTGTCAAAATTGTCAAATATTAAAGTTTTATATATATATATATATATATATATATAATCAAGTTTTATATCATACAAATGAAAAAATTTTAATTTTTATTTTGAAACATTGTTAGATTTTGAAGCCAGCAGACAAAAAGAAATTTCCATATGCTGGAGTTCAAGGGTCGCGACCTGTCACCCCACCTAAAGGCACACAAGCTAAGGGCAAGGGCAAAATGTAGATGGGGATTTTTTAATTTAACCTTTATATATGTATATTCATAATTATATATTTATATATATATATATGAGTATGTATTCAAGTATATATATATAATTATATATATATATATTCATAATTTTTTAATCATCAATTGTTGTTTCAATAATTTTATTGTCACCATGTAGGAAGTTGATACCTAACAATGATGATGATGTAGTGAGGATGATTTGTTATTATTACTATTATTGATATCATTACTACTACTGTCATTATTTTAATATCCGTTATTATTATATTATGCCATTATTATTATTTTATTATCATTTTATATTATAAACAATGGTGATTATAATAATAACAATGACTAAGAAGAAGCCATTTGTTTGTATAATTCTCATTTGTATAATTTTTATTCCTTTTTTTTCTCGCTCTCTCTCTCTCTCTCTGTTTGTCCTCATCTTCTTCGTTATTAAATGCACATGCATGAATGATGTGCTCTCCTTTATCACTCATCTCATTTTAATCATTTTGTTAACATCATCATCATTGTATTACCGATGATGTTGTTATTATTATTATTATTATTATTGATTTTTCTTAGATCACAGATTTTTTACCGTAATATTATATTATATATATATATAGATATACATATTTATGTGTTGGTAGATGAATAATTTTATGATAATTCTTATTTTGTATTGTTTGTTTGTTTATCTAACTATATATGGAGTGTGTTACATGCAAGTTTACATGTGTAGGTTGATGAGTAACGTAACTTATACTCAGTTACAGTTTACATGTTTTTTGTTGTTGTGTTGTCTTGTCTAATAGATACTAGGATATATATGTATATATCATATTGTATGTATCTGTTTGTGTGTTTGTCTATATGCGTGTCGTTCTTTATGTGTGTGGGTGTTTGTGCAATGGAAACTATTTAAGGATTGTTTACATACATTGTTTGTATGTTTTGTGTGTTGTTTGTATATTTTGTATATTATGTGTACAACTAAAAGAATACAAACATACACAATTGTATGTATTCGAACAAACATATACATGCGTGTGTATTTATGTGTGTGTATGGTTAGTTGAATAAAACAATCGTCTACATCATCAGTGGGAGATGGATTGATTTGAAGTTTTCATTATTTTCGTCAACTACTGTTAATCAATTAACCAATTAATTAATTTACTGGTTAATAACAATATAACGATTTTTTTTAGATAATAACAGTTATCTGGGATGTTGACTAATTTAATCATATATATATATATATATATATATATATATATATATATATATATATATTCAATTATATCCATAATAATACGGGAATATTAATTACTTTTTATGATAATATTTATTATTATTGTTGTTGATGAAGATGACGATGCAAATAATGTTATTCACTCAGATAACATCACATCAAAACATGCATATATGAATGTATATATATATGTGTGTGTTTATATATATATACATATATCGGTGTATTTAGGCAGTATGTTTTCTTGAATACATATTTTGCTGAACTCGATCGAATTTACCAGGCTGTTTCTTTACACCTTCAACTTTTCCAATTTTCTAATTAGTTTCTCGTTTTCATAATTAAAATCGTGAATTAAATTTCCAAGAGTCATTTATTTTCATGAGTTTTTTATTCCTCCTATGTTTCGATGTCTGTACTTCATCCGCCGGGATTGATTATGGAAATTTGGTTTCCCTATTTATAGATTAGGAATAAGAAAAATAGAAGACTTATAAAAGTAACTTTTGGAAATTTAATTCATGATTTTGATTACGATGACTAGAAAAACAAATTAGAAAATTGGATATTTTGAAGAAGAAGATAAGAAACAAACTGGTAAACTCGATCGAATTCAACAATATATATATATATATATATACAAATGTATCTTTCCTCTTTATCTCTCTTCCTTTATATATATAATTATATTTAGTTGTTTTGGAGAAATAATAATTTAAGTAGATTTTCCAACTATATATATTAAGTTTTTTAAATTTTTCGAATTCTCACTATATGATATATATATATATATATATATCAGTTATCACATAAATGTTAGGCTATTATTACTTATCTTCTTATTTTATTAGTTTTATTATTAAACCGCGTTGCTATTAATAATGTTGTTGTCTTTTATTATTATCATTATTAGCAGTAGTAGTTTCGTTATTAATAAAAAGAATAATAATTATATAATTATTAGGTGACCAAGTGATATTTATATTATATATATATATTATATATATATATAATTTATATAAATGTTTGTGTGTTTTATGTTAAAAATTATTATACAAGTAGGCAGTAAGCAGACAAGTCACACTTTTCAGTTTTTTAAATTGGTTTTTTTCGAAAGAGAAAAATTTGATTGATTGATTAACTGATTATAATTGTTGACTATAATTATTAACTGGCATATTAATTGTTATTATTATTATTTTTTATTATTGTTATTATTCACGTAATTTCTTTAAAATGTTAGATTACACTGTTTAGTAATTTTCATTGTTATTATTACTTTTTTGTTGTCATCGTGTTTATCAATGATTTTTTTATTATTATTACTATCTATCTTTTATTATTTGTTTCTTATTATTATTATTTGTTTATTTAATTACTCTCTGTTAAATTTTTCATAATTTAGCTCTTATTTATTTCTCCTTTTTCATGTCATTATTATTAATTAATTGTTTGATCAACATCCTATATAATTATTTTTTTCATTGTTATTTATTATTATTATTATTGTTTAATGATAATAATAATAATATTTGGTTAATAATAATAATAATACGTCGTAATTATTGTAGTAATAAATCTTTTTAGTTTCATGACTCCTATTGTCTTCGCGCCAGTTTCTTTTTCATATACTCGAGAGTCTTGAAACGGTATTGACGTAGATAGTTCACAGTAACCCGCTTGCTCTCTCCACTCTCCTTCTTTTAATATAAGTGTTCTTATGTGAACAATTAACCTTCAATCCCACAGTTTATCAAGATGATATTCAACTTTTTGTTCAATTAACAGCTTTGATGGAAAGATAAACTCTCCGCTCATAATAAACAATTGTTATTTTGGAAATAGCAAAAAAGATAGTTAAAACGGAAGTTTGTTGCAGTATTCTGCTAATCGGTATTTTGAAAAGTCCAAAGCTGAACCCCTAACTCTGAATAATTAGGCCGAATACTCGATGCTTCTCTATAGTAACTTAGTAACTAACTTTGCTCTTACTTTACTTGGCTCTATTGTCTTAATTTTTTTTAAAGTCCAGTTGGATCTAATTTTTACTTGAAATCAAAATTTGGAAATTGAGAAATTAATGGTTACAGATTTTTATTTCATTTCAAACTAAGCACGGAATTCAGATAGAAATATAAAAATTAATATGAATAAATTTAATGTTAATCTGATATATTTGATTGCATATCTATATAAATAAGCACCAATTATTATTACACTCATGGATAAGTGGTTAGATGTGTTACATTGAATCTCTTAACAAAATAACATCCTTCTAGGTAGTGTCTGTTATAGTTTTTTGAGTACATCTTAATGTTAATTGCTTGGCACTTGTGAACAATCCATCCATGCATATGTAATGGTAATCTCATTTTTGAATTATTTACAATAGAAGAGATCGGTGATAATTTAAAATGACCAACGTTAACTGATTGACGTTTATAAGTTTGATGATGCGAAGGAATGATTTTTTATAAGCTTTGTTTCAACCAAATAAACAGTCAATGTATAAAAAAATATATATAATAAAATAAATAAGTACATAGAGTATTAGTTTAGTTCATTCACAATTCCATTCATTCATTCATTCATTCATTCACAATTTAACACCTTCATTTACTCATTCATTCGTTCGTACATTCGTTCATTGGTTCGTTCATTCACTCAATCACTCAACCACGATCAACCGGATATGTTGAGGTAGATGGCACCAAGAAGTATGAATGCAGCTGTAAATCGGATAAGTGTCACTCTTATTCTTTCATGGCTTTCCACGCTTACCTGCAATTTGTAAATTCAAAAAATTAATTTCAAATAATCACGATTCAAATAAATAGTTATAAACACGTTGCAAATATTTCGATTTATCAGTAAATTAATTTCTTTTAATTCAAATGCCAATCATTAAACCAATTTCTTTAAAAATTGATGTTAAAATTTGAAATGAAATTGAATGAAACGAACGATGAAATTGCTTGCACGACTTCTGGCATGGTTGTAGGTAACTGAGAAGCAGTTACTTAGGCTTTTGAACAAAGAGTCAAAAGTGGAAAAGCCAAAAGTGGAACAGAAGTCCCGACAGCAAGTGCTTGCTCTGTGAAGGCATTTTTCTAGGCTGGTTTGGGATGTTCTCGCAAATCTGTAAAAACAGAAATAATTAATTAAGCAATTAATTAACTATTTATTTTATAAGAA